AATGTATTGTCACTCAGTTACAAAAGAATGCAGCTAAAATTTGCTGAAATAGTATGTAGATATGTATGGGAGCTCTGAATACGAAAACCTTAAAACCGACTACAAATACTCTTTAGATCGTGCCCCTAAAATAGCCTCGCCTATTTACAACAGCGTTTTCTTATTCTAATACTGGATTTCCACTGGGCCTTAAATGAGAAGAATTTTTGCCATTTCAATGAATCGTCGTATGCCATGAACTTTATTAAGGCTAAACGAGTTTTTAGCGATTTTACCATGCAAATCATATGAGTCATGTTATAAATTCATAAAGCCTCCAATTTGAGCAAAACGTTATTATGTACATATGTATGTACCAATTCATAGGGTGTATGAACACTTTTTATATTTTTTCTTTTGTGTAAAATAATTTATGCTTTGAGTATAAACTATAAGCGATTGATATTCATTTCAAGTGTAGGTTATAAAAAATAGTTTTAAAAAGTGCTTAATAGTAATGAGAAGTCGTAGGATAAAGCTCTTAAAAATAGCGTCAACTTAACCGAGACTTTCGAAACATTCAAAGTTTTATTTCCAAAAAAAGTGCTAAACTTGTTAATGTTACACGATCAAGAACCTGCTCTCAAGTTGTAATACACACTCACACTGAATCGATATGAATTTTTCCTTTCTAGTCGTGTGGCAACTTGGCAAGTCAAACAGCTGATGTGTCAATTCTAATGAATTTTGACATGAAGTGTGTGTTTGATAAACTTGAAAACAAGTTCTCGATCGTGTAACCTCATGGTTAAACAACGTTTCCACATACCCCAAATTGCGCAGTTCCGATTATAAAGTAGCTGTTACACGCAACAAGAACCGATGGTTTGAAAGGTCTTTCCGACTCAAGAATTTTTAAAAATGATTGCTGGAGCATTTACGCTTCGCGTGCAAAGTGACTTTGGAACGCTGAAAAATGTACTAAAAATGATAAAATGGCCTCAAAATGTCTGCGAATTAATATTTAAATACTTCATTTTAGAAGAATAAATGAATTAAAATTCCCGTCTCATACGGCAACACTCGGCTGGTTTGACAATACCTTCAGCAGAAATCAAAATTGCTACTGCAGCACGAAAGCGAAAGTTGAAATGATTTCTCGAAAGAGATTTGCCTTCTTTCAATTGCAGTTACACCCTGCAACTTTTATTTCCGAAAGTGATTACTGCAAATCTGCGAAAAGAATTTCGCTTTCGGTTTTTGATAGCAAACTGCGGGGGAAAAGCGCTTTCATTGCCACGTCTAATCGCAGTTTGAACTTCCATTCGAAATTGCAACTTGTAAACAATTTCAGCGCACAGATCTTTCTATGAGCCAATTTAGAAACGTATCACAATTTCAGCTGCGATTTGTTGCTCGTGGAAACGCACTATTAAATCTTCAAGTAAAAAGAAAAAAAAAAAACAGCACAAAAAAATACAATTTTATTAAAGAATCTTGTAAATTTGCTGATCACGTTTTTTCACAGTTTTTTTTTTATATTTTCAGCATATATATGTACATATAAGCATTATACCGATTAGCTTCAAATGTGCCGCTGATCTCTCTTATATTTAACTCAACCTAGACTAGTTTATAATAAATTATTTAATATTTTTTTATTTAATTTAATTTTGCTCACTATATGTTAATGTATTTGAAATACTTATTTAATAGTTTTACATTCTATATAACTACGCACGAATTTTGTTAACTTTTTGCTGTTTAAATTGCATCAAAACATTTGTAATTTACAATTGGCTACGCATGTAATTCAACGACTTACAGCTAATTCAATGTATCAATCATAATCATAAGTTTTTATAACTATGATTTGAAAAAACTTTTTTTTTTCAAATATTTTTTTTCGAGTTTAATTTTTTTTTGCCGATTATTCGTACGGTTTCATGCTTATGTTGCCTATGTATGTAAGAATGTAGAGTATTACTTTTATTTATATGTATGTAAGTACGTAGGTATATGTGTGTGTGTGTGTTTGTTTGTAAGTAATACCTGCATTTTCTATACTTTTTGGCTACTTTATAAAATAGTTAACTTTATACTTTTTCGATATTAAGTACATGTGTATCTATGTATGTATGTATGTATGTATTTTGTTTTTATCGAGTATTTTCATTTTGTTCACACGATAGATATCAACTTGTGTTCGGCTTGAGTAAGAGTCGTGAAAATTTCGGGAAAGTTAATAGAATATTTTTTAGATGTTGTTATCGTTTCACTTCACATATTCTCTTTTGGTTTTTTTTTTTTTTGTGTTTGCTTTTTTATTATACAAATTTTATTATGCTATTAATTTTTTATGTCAGTGAAATTCATAGCTCTGCTAAATAGTTAGTTTTGAAGCATGTTATATGTACTACATAGTTATGTATGTATGTATGTATGTATGTATGTAAGTATGTTTGAAGATAGTTTCGCTGTACGTTGTGTAATATTTTAGCTATCATATTATGTAAGCGCTCATTCATCTAGATTATTGCGTTTGTTTAACTCTATTAAAACTATTTGTTTTCTTAAACAAGCTTCACATCGTCTTATACATACATACATATGTTCATATGTGTATGTATGTATGTTCTACTTTTGCTTTGATTTTCTGTTATCACATTCTCTATGTCAATAAAACTCCAATAAGTATGCGCCCCTTACAGCATGAATTCGGTAAAATATTAGTGTTTATCGTAAATTTTATGAATGCAGAAAAATTCAAAATCGGCTTGACAAAAATTTAATCTAGTTAATGGATTTCTTTACAGTTAAGTGAAGTGATATACTAATTTAAATTTTGTTTTAGCAATATTGATTTGTTGTACTGCTAGTGCAAATAGGGAAGAGCAATAAAGAATGTAGGATTCCAAGGGACCAAAGAAATTTGATTTTTGGCGGGGACGACAAATCTTGGACATAACATACATAACTACTATAGCAAGGCGACAGCAGTCTTCGCAGTACTAAAAATTCGAGTGGTCCCCAAGAAAGGAAATGTCTTACTGTGCGAAGCATAGCGTTTGGCTTTGAGAGCGTTAGCAAACTCCGTACTGCGTAGGTGTGCAGTAGGAATGTTAGGTCCCGAAAATCCCGGGACTCTTGGCAAATAATGTTTGGTGCATAAATACTGGTTCGTTATTGAAAATGTCCTTTTAAAAATTTATCCTTGAAATTTCGCAATATTTATTTTTGGCAAAATTATACGTTAAGGACTTATATAAACTCGATAATATCCTCGAATGTCGTCCTTCTAACTTTATCAGCTAAAAAAATTACCTATTCGTCCTTTTGAATCCAAAATTTTTTATTTTTTTTTTTAATTCTAAAGAAATTTCCGCCTTCATTTGGTACCCATATTTTTATTCTACATTGCATTGAATTTTTTAAATAATTTTTGAAATCAGTCATATCTTTGAAATTACAAGGTCAGAGAGAAAAAATAAAAATGCCACTTTAAATAAAGAAAGTTGGTTTCAAACCCATTTATTTATTATTTATTTTATGGCAGGAGAGCTTCTCAAACAATATGGAAGCATTTTTTTTGATTTAAGTTGTTGAAAAGTAAGGAATATCTAAATCCCGAGACTAATTCTGGGAACCCGGAAAACGGATTAACATCCCTGCCATGGTCACTTCCGGAAGACAGGAATCGCAGGGGAAGTTTAATGATCTGGACCGCTTCACCTAATACTATTTCAGATCTCTTTCTAGCATACTCGTCCGCTTACTCATTTCTCGGAATGATTATTTTGTTGTTGTTAAAGAGCTTGTAGGCATATTCGACATTCTTTAACGCATACCGAATTAGTCGTTGCCGACCCCAAGGTTTTGATGAGAGCTTGACTGTTAACAACGAAGGCAAGTTTAGAGGTAGCTAGGTAAATCATGCTTACCAGCTTTGCCGATTTGTCAATTACATATATCTCAGCCTGGAATACGCAGCAGTGATCTGAGAGTGTTTAGGACGACCCTCTACAGGTAGTTCTCAAGGGAAGACGCCACTTTGGAGCCATCCGTGAAAATAAGGATTTCGTCAGCGTTTAGAAAAATATTTAACTTCCAGCTACTGTACTCAACACTCATTCTGTTGTTGTTGTTGTAGCGGCTACCAAACCCCACTCGAGTCGACTCATCCATCTGGGTGGGGTTTTGGGGGGCATGCGAAGAGGTGCTGTGAGTTAAGTGGTGACACTACGCATGCCGAACACTGGTTGGTCACTCAGGTATGAATTTAGGCCGCTGCAATAGCCAGAGCGAAGTTGGGCTATGGAGAGGAGGGTGGTGTGACCGTAGCAAGTTGCTCGTAGCGTGTTAAACGCCCGAATCGCAGAATGCTTTTAGCCGCAGGTGGAATGTCCATCTTATCTTCGTAGCAGATCGACTTCTGAGAGCCCTATAGTTTCTGTGGTACCTATAACAATGCCCTTTAATATTATCAAGATAGTCACAAACCATTAAACAAATTCGCTCATTACCAAATAATTTTCATCAAATCGATTTTAAATTTGTTCCACGCTGATCAGAAATCCTAAACAAAAAATTGGCGCTTTGAAATTTTGCAAGTATGCATGTCTAACATTTTGACAATTACCTTTGAAATGAATTTCTTCTTCATCGAAAGTTTGTCTTATCACAGCGAAATATATTTCACTTTTTTATTGCATTTTATCTTAACCATATTGAATTCATACAACAAACTATGCAGCATACGGCGAAATGGAACAAAAGTATTTTTTACATGAATTTCACTAATTTTAAAATCAAATGACCTTAATTTGTAGTTTACGTAAATATGTGCGCGAATTTGCCTACATATTTTCCATTTTATTGCGTTTTCTATTGTGTAAAAATTAATTGTTTTTTTTTTTGCAATTTCTGGCATAAAATTACACTTGTTCGTTCGTTGACTGAGGCACATTTTGTTGTTTTTTTTGTATCTTAACGTACATACATACATGCGTTGCAGATTTTTTTAAAAGTATATAAGCCGAACTAGTGTTTTTCTTTAGCATTTAGACAAAAAAAAAATATATATAACAAAGCTTTTCTTAAAAAAAAAAAGTGAAACTTTCTCATTTGGCGTCTGAAACATTTGTTGTTGTGTAGAGTCCAGATTTTTAAAAGCTGCCGCAATGCTGACATCAATTATGGGAACTGTTAAAGAAATAGGGTAAATGAATTTTGATATTTTGTAAAGGCATATATGGATTTAATGTGGCGTGTGCACATTAGACCGAATCAGAAAAAAAGTTCGTCATACACCCCTGAGCGTAAAGTATTTTGCAGTCGATGTTTTTGTCTCGAGGAGAACATTTGTTTAGTGTCAAAGTTCATTGATCTGAAGTACCGCGTTTTAGTACTTACCCACTGGATCTCAGTTCTTGCCACCCCAACGTACCACCTTAATGCCAATAAATTAAAGCTCACCAAAAATCATATACATTTTGCTAAGGATTTTTTTTGATTATTCCAGTAGAACTATTTAATATTTTTTTTGACGAATGTACTTAGGTGGCACCAAATAAGGTTTTTTTTTTTTGAATTTGCCTTTCAAAAATACTACTTTAGGTTCAGGGGTGTACTACGAATTTTTTTTTGTTTGCTTGTAAGGTGATGCGGTCTAATGCACATACATACATACAAGGACTCCAACAACCGTTAACATGTTAATTTTTGTTTAAATATTCACAAAGTTTTTCGAGTCATTTTTTTTTTTGAATTTTTCATAAAAATTTGTTCATGTTACAAGTATAACCAAAACCACGTAAATAAAAGTTTCGAACTTAAAATAGAAGTTGAAAAAATTCAAAAAATTTTCAACAAAATTTCGAAATTTTTGATATGGAAATTTTTGGGTATGCAGTTTTATAACCCATACAATTTCATTCATTTTCCTATAAATGTTTTAGCCCCGCTTTTCATTGAAGTGAAATTTTTTGGTATCTTTGCTGTCGGTTCCAAATAAGAAGCTTCGCTGCACCTCGTTGAGTGTGAACATCCGTAGTCTCGCTTCTCTGCGCATTGCTTGCTCGCTTCGGCACCGCTTTCTATGTGGTGTGTACGTACCCTAACCCCGTTTGCAAAAAAAAAAAATAAAATAAAAAAGTTTTAATAAACTACACTTTTGCACGAAAAGCTGCAAACATACACTTTATTACTAAAATTTTATGGGGTATACAGCTGCACACTCAAAAATTTGTCAAAAAATTCAGTTTAAAAAGCTCGAAATTTTAATGAAAATTTTATTGAATTTTTCAAAATTTTTCCGAGTTTTACGTTACCCTAATATAGAAAAGCCCTAACTGATTTTCCTTTCGCGGATTTGAGTCACTGTATGTACAAGTGTTTAAATGATATAAACGCACATATATTAATTTTTTTTTCCTTTCGAGTACTTACAATGAAATGTGGTGCGGAGAAGAGTACAGCCAAAGTTGCAATTATTGTAAAAAGCGTGAAAATTATAAGGCACAAGCGATCGACTACCATCGCCGCAAATTTCCAATCTCTCGTTACGTCGCCCGTTTCATCCTCTTTCTTCAACTAGAAATACAATAAAAAGAAGTCAGTGTGGATACTGTTTTCTTGTACACAAAATAAATAACCGATAATTTTTTATACTGTTAATGAGTGGAAACTATTGAATTTTTTGCGGATTTTCTTCGGGGTTTTTTTTTTTCGAGATACTCCGAAATTGTTCAGAGCTTTTCATGTTTTGTTCAAATTTAGTTTTACATTTAAGTCTTACCTTCTCAATTTTAATTGTATAAAAAATACATATCAGAGGTGAATAGTTTATTTAATTTGTTTTTCTTTTTACTATATAAAATTCATATAAATTCATATTTAGCAACCGCTATTTATAACGCCTTTCGCTGACTGTATAATGTTTTGTCTAACTTGAAAATTCGTGTTATTTTATTGAATGCAATGCGGAACATCAATTTTTTTGTCTTGACATAAGCAATTCTTAAATTCAGAATTTATATAAAAATTTAGCAAGCGATTTTTGTTTCGGTCTACAAGTGTTCTGCCCTGTTCTCCTACCGTAACGGACACTTTTAACCTTATTTTGAAGAAACTCATTGTATGTCCATTAAAATTTGCAGGTAGAGGGTTAAACTGTTCTACAAACATTTTAAGCCAAAAATTTCACTAGGTGTCTATATACGAGATTAAAAAATTACACTTTTAAAAGATTTTTGTTTATAATATAACACTGTACAACAAAAACAAAACAAAAGTTCAAAATACGAAAAAATCAATGCTAAATAAATATAGTAAAACTGAATATGTAGTTTTTTCTCTCTGTTTTGCAGATTTTTTTTTAAAGGACTCTGAAATTTCAGTGATGTGATTCATTAAAAAAGTTATTTAAAAAATGTTCGTGGTATTGAAAAAGATACAGTTTTCTGGTACACAAAGGACGAAAATAGTTATTTTTGGGAAAAAAATATATTTTAAGCACTAATATGCATATTACCACAACCTCGAATTTCATCCTTCTAGTTTAGGGTAAAAAAATTATCATGCTTCTCTTTTGACTTTTGAGTGACGTTTAAATCTGGTCTTTCGAAAAATAAAGTAAACTTTAGTGAATAATTATTTGGTAAAAATTTTAACTCCTTAACTCCTGCAATTATGAGGCTATTGTCCTTTATTTGAAAAGCTTATTAAAAATGGTGGTTCGAGGGTTAATATATTCTACAGAAGCGTATGGATTTTTGGAGTGATTTGCTCCTGAGTCGAGTTTCAGTGGTGGTCCGAACACTGCTGAGAACTACAGATAACAATCTCACACTGAATTATTCGAATTTTGTTCATTCGGTGACTCGCAGCAAAATTCTTCGCTTAATATTTTTGTATAACATTTTAACCCTGTAAATGCCGCTTTAATGAACTTTTCCAAAAGGGATCAAACATAGAGAATTAAAGGGTTAAACCTTTTTTGTTCCAGATTTCTGAAGTCAAAAACTATGTCAAAGATCGATTTACACATTTTTCTTAATGGTAAAATTTTTAAAATTTAGAAAAAAAAAACCTAAATCGCGCTCATTATTAACAGGATGATTTCTTAATCTTCGTTAACAAATAGAGCAGAATTTCATGCTTAATAATTTTTGTATAGAGAATTTCCGCACTTAAAAAAATGTACATACGTCTAATTTGAATCTCTACATTGAAAAATAATTCAATCGCGATTTAAGTGCTTTCATCAAATTAGCAGAAATGCCCTATAAGAGCAAGATACGTCTTTATTCGTTAGTGACTGGTGTTGAGACTTTTCACAGAATCATTGTTTCGCATCGAACTGGATTATATCTTCAAAGTGATGCAATGAAATAACTGAAATATTCATGATTTGACACAGCGATAAAGCAAACAAAGCGCGACATCTTCGATCCGTTACACCCATACGTACATACATATATATGTGTGAATATTCATACATTCATATATACAAAAAGCTATTTGCAAAAAGTACGCTTTTCAATCGAGTGGGGGGATGCCTTGACGCCCGCATGCCAATGCAAAATCACCATCTAAGCGCCGTCAAACCTAATTCCTATGAATGACATCATTAAAATCGAAAACAATAGACTGTCAATGGAAAATTGCTATCGATTGTAAGTGTTGTTGTTTGTTTGCTTGTTTGCTAGTTGCCTACTGCTTGCCGCTTTGAGACTATTGACAATTTTTGATATACCGTTGCACGCGGGTGCTACACACACACACACAGACACATTGCATCAACAAGCGCCAAGGTGTCTTTAAGCCTGGAAGATTGTTGTCGATTTGTAACGGCTCACCTGATCTGTTATCCATCGCAGCTCTTTGAGGATAAGCGCCAATTCATATTCCGCCGACGAACTGAGGCAGGTGTGTGACATGGCCTCGTGCATACGCGCATCACCGACGGGGCCAACGGGGCCGACAGGACCCACCGGGCCGACGCTGCCATCATCGCCTTGCCTGCAATGTGGGACATGGGAATGTAAGTGAATTTTTGTTTATGGATGTACATATGTATGTATGTAAATGCAAATAAGTGTACGGAAAATGTGACAGTGACACATATCAAACGCCGATTGGTGTTTGCCATCGATGCGGGCGTGTCAATGCAGAAATTCGCTTTTATTCTTGCACTGAATTGACTTGATGTTTGAGTATGCAAATTAATTTTTGTATTGATTGCTTTTGTGCACGGTTACCTTACATGGTATGTATGCATGTATGTTTATGCACACAAAAGCTACTCTTGAATTCTGATAAGGATATAGGGGAAATTGATAATTCACTTTACAATACCTTATTTACGATAAATTAACATTGAATGCATTTTTAATTTTCACAATATTGAGACAAATTAAAGTGATATTACATATTTTCTTATGTTTGTACATTAGGGTGCATCACTCTCCATACAGAATAGATAGGTACTGTTTTTCCAACGAAATTATACATTTTTTTATATCTAAGGCGTCCGCCTAAATATTTCGGAAGACTATTAAGAAAATCGTGATTTTATACAAATAAAACCAGCTTCTAAAAATATTCTTTCGAAAAATCGTCTTAGATTAAGGGTTAAGCTTAAAAAGGCTTAGAAATTTTATCAACGGAATCAAAATAATGAGATTTACGAAGGTATTTTAAAATCGGTCCAGCTTATGTAAATCTTAAGTTTTTTTCGAAATTTTTTTGGAATAAGTCCTTGAAAAAATTGATGAAAAACAGTGCCAATTTTTTCATGGAGGGCGATTTGCCCTAATGTACATAGTAAAAAAGCGGTGAACCAAATTTCGAATGAACGGGAGATGATTTTGATAGATTTATTTAATCGTTGTAACAATTCTTGGAAGCCTATTAGCCTATTTCCACCGAGCTTTAACTGAAACGTTGATAAAAAAAAACAAAAACAAATCGATAAATTTTAACTTAATATTTTATTAGAAAATACCTTTACAAACCTCTTTTCTTTGCCAGCGTTCATTATTGTTTACTTTTACATTTGACATTTCTCCTCCTCTTCGAAAAAATAATCGATAAAACTACTGAAAAGTTATCGGTCTAATCTGAGATTATTTTACACATAATTACAGATTAACTAGGGACAAATTTTGTATGGCTAATCTCTTTTTCTAATTACAGATTAGTGAGTTTAGCTTAAAAATGAGGATAATCTATTGATATGTAAATCTGCTACTATTGTTCCAACAACTTACATACAACCACAGAATAAACAGTATACAGAATACGCACCACATACAAATTTATTTTTCTTCGGCGGACGTAATATTACAAC